GCTGGTAAATCTGCAGGTAGGGGAGGTTCAAGGGAATTACCTAAAGGAAACACTTTTCCACATCATATATTCCCCCACATAGGGGATTCATTCCTACAGAATGCGGTGGAGGCCAAGAGTAGATACAGACTCAAAAGGTGGAGACCACAGGAACAGTGTTCATGGAACGTAAGGAGTTGGAATTTCCTTTTTTGGAAATTTTGGAATTTTGGAAAAAAAAGAAAAGAAGCAACTGAGCTGCTGCACAACAGAACTGTCTGTGAATCCGCTGCCTGTGGTCCCCAGCAGAAAGCACAGGAGTGTGGTTCAGTTTGCTGCAGCTATCCAGGCAGGTGCATGCAGGTTCCCCGCTCAGGAGCATGAGAATGATCCCTGGGAAGCACTTAAAAATGGTTTGTCAAAGGACCATGATTCCTGACAATGAAAATAGTTGCTGTGAAAAGCAGTGGCAAAATGGAAAGATTGGCTAAAAATGGAAAAGCAATACATACAAGAGAAAAAAAAAACACATAGAAAGAGGGAGGGACCATAGAGCAATTGCTAGAAATGAGTAGCTATCAAGTGTAGACGATTGACAAGGAAACACAAAAACATCAGGGGAAAATCAATTCTGACAGGCTAAGCACAATAAAGAGTGCATTAAAAATGTGCTAGGAAGTGTGGAATCCGATAATTATCATTTCCAAATGAAGATGGCAAAATTGTTAATTATGCAGAAAATGTAAAAGTATTCAATAAGCAGTTCTGGTAATTAGGTTTGAGGAAGAACAATGAGGGATGCAGGACCTGCCAATGCATTGGTAACTGGCAAGGACATTAGGAAAAATTTATTTGGAATAGAGAAGTTTGAAACAATCCAGTCAGATAACTTGTACCAAAGGATCTGCTAAGTTCTGAACTGGAATCTCTCTGGTCCTGGGATGTTAATGGACCTGGTGCCTTGGGAATGTCCCCAGGGAGCAGAAGATACTGCTGTAATGGTGCCAGCTGAAGGAGCAGGTGGGCTGCTGTGTGTGACTGCACCTTGTTCTTGCTGTCCCCTGGGAACAACAGGGTTAATAGCTACAGCAGAAGTTGAAATCATGAGAATAGAACGGAGTCCCGTCAATACAGTTTGATGGAAAAAAGATGCTGGGCAGTGTCATTATACGGTAGCTCATGCTCCTAAACCTTGCCTCAGGCATCTGATCTTGGCCACTGTGAGGACCTGGATGTGCGCTGGACATGCCCACAGGTCCAAAGCATCAGAACGGGTTTTAGGTTTTTATAAGATTACAGTGTGCGGAGTTCCATAAGGATGCTGAGTTGATAATTCACAATATTATTATTATTACTATTAATTAAGACTATACATCATAAGTAAGGCATTGCTAGATAGATAAAGAGCTGGTTTATTGACAGCTTAGAAAAGAAAAGCAATTGCTGTTTGGGAATCCTCATGGAAAAGGTTCTCCTAGAGGAACTCTTCAGCAGCAGTACTGTGCCTGCTGCCATTCAACATTGTAATCAATGATCTGGAAGTAAATACAAAATTACTGCTGATAAAATTTGCAGCTGACACAGAGATTGGTGAAGTGGGAGATCATGATGAGGATAGAGCAATCATGCAGAGCAATCCAGATTGCTTGGTAAACTGGATCTATTTAAACAAAGTGCACTTTAATGCAGCCAAATGCAAAGCTGCACATCTAGAAATAAGGAATGCTGGTTTATATCCTGGAAAGCACTAGCTATGAAATGGATTTAAGGGTCACACTGGACGAGTAGCTCAGTGTGTGCTCTTGTATGCTCCGGCCAAAGGGCTAATGCAGTCCTCAGATGAATAAACGTTGAGAGTTAGGAGTACAAGTAAGTCTCTGCAGAAAGCCCCAGTGAAATGGCTCCAGGAATTCTGCTCATGATTCTACAGATCACTTCTGACAAGGAAGGGAGAAAAATTGGAGCAAGGAAAGATAAGCATCACAAAACTGACTTGCTGGCTCGAGAAACTGCCGTGTAGGTTGAGACTTAAGGAGCTCGGTTTGTTTAACTTCTCAAAAGGAAGATTGAGGGGTACCTTGATTACAATGTGTAAGCAGCTTCTTGTATAGAAAGCAGTTTGCTGTAAGGCTTTTTAACCTAGCAGAGAAAGGTCAAACAAAAGCCAATTTGCTCTAACTCAGAGCGAGACAACTGCATTCCTGTCTCCTGGTGACTCCAGAACAAGTCTCTGGATGGAGAGCTTCAACCAAACACAGGCTACTGTTACTTTTGTTCATGTATTTGTCACGACACAAGTGAAACCGTTGTGGGGGCACCAACCTCTGTCAGTGTCCTGCCGCCGTGGAGGGGTTGGAGGGGATTAGGGGTGTGTGTGGATGGTCTTTGCTTTGCAATGAAGAGCAGAATCCTTACGAGGGCTGTCAGGCAAGATCTGACAGTTAGACTGGGTGTTTTTTAATTAAAAGTGATGCTATTGGGAATGAGACCCCCCAGGGAAGGGACAAGAGTTGTTACAAGCTGGGTTTCTGAGGCTGTTTATACAATTGCAGGCACCCTGTGGAGCCCTAGCCGTTGGTTTGGGGCTTTACAAGCATAGATCTATTTGTCTATCCCTTCATGAAAAAGGTGGCACCACCTGCTTTGGCAATCTAGCAGACTTCTCAAAAATTTGCCATTCTTTCTTTCCTTTTTTTTTTTTTTTTTTTCCATAGTGATTAACTTAGATGCTCCTTTCTGCAGGTTAAGGCCATTTTTTTTTTTCATGTATCCAGCCATGGGGATGCCAGCAATCCTTTGCTTTTCTCTTTGCAGAAGGCTTGTATGGATTTGAAGATTGTTACCACTGTCCCCCTTAGCCAGCTTTTCCTCAAAGCGATTTCTTCAGTCTTTCCCTGTTTATCATGATTTCTTGACCTCTAACCATTCTTGTTCCTCTGCTCTTAACCAGTGTACGTGTTCTTGAAGCGCGATGTCTCAGCCTGGGCACAGCACTTTGTCTGAAGCCTCACTGAAGCCTAGCAGAGGGGACAGATCACTGTGTGACTTAAGAAGCAAAGCTCCTGCTTTTGCATCTCAACACAGACGCATTTTTTTGTAATAGTTTGACATTGCTGACAGATAGTCATCCCATGGTCTGTTGTAACCCTCAATCCTTCAGCTAGCCTGCTGTTTATGCAATGATTATTTTTCCCTAGTGTGCAAATGTGACAGATATATTCCATATCTGTCATCTAAGCAGTTAATGAAAATACAAGCTAGGAACGGACTCAGGACGCAACCTGAAGAATTTCATTTGATACATCCTGCCAGCTCAAAGACCTGTCTTTACTAATAACTTTCTGAATATTTGAATAGAGCTTTCTAAATGCTTTGTATCCACCCTGCAGTGGATTGCACTATATAACCTAAGCACTGAAGCACTGCACTGTACATATTCTGCTTTCTTGCCTTCCTTATAAGAATATTGTACAAAATAGTGTCAAAAAAACTTTCTAAAGCCAAGATATAACATTTACTCCTCCTCCTCATCCACAAGGCCTGATGTCTTTTCAAAAAAAGCTTGACGTGTTTGTTTGTGACAAAGCTACAGTAGCTGTTACTCATTTCCTTGTTATCTCATAGGTACTTACAAAGAGATCTTTTATCTATTTCAGTATTTTTCCAGGAACTGAAATTAAGCTAACTGTTTTATAATTCTCCAGCTCTTCTTTTTTTCTCATCTTTAAAGACAAGCACTATTTTAGCTCTCTCCCAGTTTTCTCGAGCCTCCCTCATCCTCAAAAATTCTTTAAAAAAAAAAAAAAAAGAAAGAAAAAAGGAGAGAGAGAGAGAGACAAAAAAAAGAAGCCCTAACAGCTCTGAAGCTGCTTAAATCAGGTCTCCAAGCACCTGGGGTGAATTTAATCAGGTCCAACCAACCTAAAAGCAGCTAGCTCATCTAAATACTCCCTGTGTGTTCCTTCCCTCTGTTAGTCTGAATTCCTTTCCCTTCCTCATTGGTGCTAGCTGTGTAGGATGCCTGATTGCCACTCAATCTTAGTAAAGACTGCAGCACAAAAAAGCCATTCAACACGTCAGCCTAGATGGTGCCATCTTTCAGTTCCTCCTTTAGTTCCTCACCACCTTCAGATCCCCATTAGATAGCTCCTGCCTTGGGTTTCTGCGTATGCTTATAGGATGTTTTCTTGTCCCTTGCTCTCTCTTGGTGGTTATGCATCATTCTCTGCTCTGATTATCCTATTTTTGCCCTTTTAGCTTGTTCTACACTTTTCAACTCCTCCATAATCAGGACAAATAAGAATTTTATGGAAGGTTTTGAAGGAGGATAATGATGTAGCTTAATGGTTGTTTACAGGGAGCTCCTCCCAAGCATGGGGCAAAGCTGTGGGAAAAACCATGGAGCATAGCTTTAAAATGTCTAAGAAGCAGCCAAAAGAATTGATCCTGATGCTTGATGGAGATTCTCATAGGATGAGGGATGCTGCCAGGTCAGAGGCTGGCAAAGTGAGGAATGATGTCACTGGAAGCTCTGTGCTAAGACCTTCTCGGGAGATGTGAAGTGAATGGTGGGGGGTCTTCAGGAGCACAAGTGGTGTGAGCGGAGTCTGGGTGCAGAGTCATGTCCCTGTGCTGGTGACCCCAGGCAAAGGGTGGTGCTAGGCTGGGGCCAGTCTGTGGTTGAAGACACAGTGCTCGTGGGTGACCTTTCTGGACCCGGGTCCTCAGGTGGGAGATCGCGTCTGTCAAGGGGTGACTGTGATATGGAAGAGGAGGTTGCTCAGGAGGAGGTTGACAGGGGAGGTGATGTAGTCAGATGGAGTTCTTGTGTCAAGGGTGAGTGGGAGCCGTTTGGTGCCTGCTCCCGCTGTGGGATGGTGGGAGCTGGGTTGGAGCTGGAGTTGTGCCTGGGAGGCTTTTGGGGTGGCGTTGGACCCTGTGTGGAGCTGTGGGCGCTGGGAGGGAGCGTTCTGCCTCTGTTTAGAGGCTGGGTCTGATGCAGCGCCTGTTTTCTTCCCCAGTTACCTCATCGCCGAGTGACGTTCTCCGCAGCCAGCCAGGCCCAAGACCTGCAGGATCCCTCCCAGCACAGTTACTACGACAGCGGGCTGGAGGAGTCGGAGACCCCAAGCAGCAAGTCCTCGTCGGGGCCCCGCATTGGGCCTCTAGCCCTGCCTGAGGATCACTACGAACGCACCACACCCGACGGCAGCATCGGGGAAATGGAGCACCCTGAGAACGGTAGGAGCTCGCCGCACAAATCCGCGCCCTCCCCGGGACCCTGCACCTGAGGTGCTTCAGCCTCCAAGCTGTGCCATCCCCGTGGTGTGGGGTGAGATGGGGCCAGGAGCCTGGGCAGAGCAGACCTGCCACTGGTGGTCTGGTGGGGCAGGGAGGCTGGAGGAAAGGTAAAGCTCAACCAGAGAGTAGCCAAGATGAGGCAGGGAGGAGAGCGGGTGAGGACTGGAGAGAAAATCTGGAGAGAAACAGGACAGTGGGAAGCAACAAGGAGGCAACTGGGTTTGGCATGGCAAAGCGAGGCCAGAAGGCTGCTCTGATGGCAGCATGCATGACTGCAGAGAGCGTGGTGGCCCAGGGCGGTGGAAAGCTGGTGTTCTGCAGTTAGGGGTCCCCTGGGTTCCTGGCCCCCGGGACAGAGCAGAGGGAAGGGGTACAGAGATGGTTGGGGTGTGCTGTAACCCTCTGTGCTGCGGTGGGTGATGGAGCCATGGGAGTTTCCCAGGGATGGGAAAGGAGAACAGCTTTAATATCACAAACCGTGCTGAGGAAATGCATGAGTGGAGGGTCAGAGCGCTGTGCTGGGGCAAAATCCCAGAACACCACGCTCTGTCTTCAGCTAGGCCCTTCAGAGAACCCCCTGGTCAGGTCCACCCTTACCTGAGACCCGTAGCACAGGTGTTTCTGCAATCTCGCTGCAGGAGAGCTGGCTTTTCCCTGTCCCTGGCACAGCTTCAATTCCAGTTCTGCTCCTTGTGCTGCCTATGTGCTGCCTGCCTGACTACCCTCAACCAGCCACTTCCCCAAGCTCTCTTCTCTGGTCAGCTTAAGTTGCTTCCTCAGATTTGTCTCTGGCTGTGCATATAACATCTACTTTCCTATATCTTCTGCCTTCTGTGCTCTTATAACGGAGGGGAGGTTACAGTGGAACCCTGGGATAGAGAAAGAGGAGGTGCAAAGGGTCTTCCTGAATTCTCCTTCTCTTCCTGAAGGACATCCTTGACTTGGCACAGGTTTGTACATGGCGAGAAAATTGTTGAGGGTGTTCTCAGGTGGTCTGGGGACCTGCAAACATTGTGTCTCCCCTTTTAAGGAATACCTGGGGCCTGAGATAATGTAAGGTGTTGAAGGTCTAGCAGAACATCTCTGCCGCCTTCTCTGACTAATTCCTGGGGGAATGCTGGAGCTCACTGGGCTACAGCTGCTTGGAGCAAGGCAGACTGGTGCCAGATCTGACAGGGCTCTCAAACCTATCTCATGCTCTTGCAGTATGAGGCACCCTCCTGTTTGGGAGGGTCACACAGAGCTCTTTCTTCACTAAAGTACCTGTCAGCTGAGAAGAGAGGTGTGGAGAGGTTCTCTGGGGTTCTTGGAGCAGAGCTACTGTTTCAGACTTTCTCAACATCTGTGCTGGGACCTTCAAGCACCAGCCAGGTGCAAGAGAGGCTAGAAGGACATATTGGAGGGTATAACAGGGGCCTGGTGACAACAGGACTAGAAGAGGGAAGGACATCAGGAAATCTGGAGAAGAGGAGGGATCAGCAGGGCTGACTGGTGGAATAGGAGGGTGAGACAAGTAGCTGGAGGGTCTGCAGTTGGAGATAGAGGCCAGAGAGGGCTGCCTTTAGTCCCCGTACTTCAGGCTGGCAGCTCACTGCTGGGCTGGGCTGGGCTGCCACGGGCTCTGGGACCCAACTGAGCAGGACTTTGCCTGTTATGACAGTTAATCCTGGTGAGTTCGTGGCCCCATGCCATGTCTGGGGCACAAGGCTCTCGGCTAGCCGTTTGAGAGAGCATCATTTTGGAGTTTTGTAGGGCCTGCCATGCCACTCCTGCTTGGGCTGTTCTCCTTCCAGGATGTTCATTATTTCCCTAGGGAATGACATGGGGCAGAACGGACCCTAGCACAATTGGGGACAGTGCGCTCAGCAGTGCTGTCACAGGGGCAGGGTACCCAGGCGCTGCATCACCAAGCCCTGCCTGCTCTATAAGTTTGGTTGCAGGAGACCCTTCTATATGCTCACAGCCCGGGACAAACTCATCATATAGCCAGCAAGTGAGTCCATGTGCAATGCAGGTAGGCACAGCAGAACAGATATGCAGTTCCCAGCAGATACTCCCTTATTCTGCTCCCCATCCCCTGGCCTGTCTTGCTCCCTTTAAGTGACAGCCATCGGGAAGTCAGGCTCTGGTATCCCCAGAGCAGTCCTGACCAATATGAACTCAATCCAGAGTAGAGGCCGTGGCAGGCCAAGGCTCTGGGGAATCCGTTAGGATTAATGCTAGCAGGTTTTGGTGCTCCATAGCTAATCTGGCAAAGATAGTTCAGTGAACCTCAGGGACTAGGGTCAAGGTGATGATCCATTAAGCAGACTATCAGTGGAGACACTGGCAAGGCCAGGTGATCTGGAGATTAAGAGGTACTGCTAGTGTGAGATCAGAGTTCATCAGAGTTGGGTTTCCCGTGGTCCGCCTAGCCTAGAGGTGACACAGCTGGCCTGTCATTACCGGCACAGAACGTGTCTTGCTCACCCAGAGAAGGGGCATGTCACTAGTGATGTGGGACCATCGTGATGCTTTGGGGGAATATCTTCCTGTGCCATTACCTCAGCGTCTAAAGCTGGTCAAGCAGCATCAACCCCTCAAAGAAGTCAAATTTTGGTGATTTTTTTTTTTTTTTGCGGATCTGGGAAAACTAAGCCACTCTTGACCTTATATTAAACTGAAGAAACTAATTGGATTCCACACACCCTATCTCCCAGCACGAGAGCAAGACTGACACTACTGTGTATTTTCTAGGCTTTCATCTAGTTATAAATATCCAACATAACAGGGCTTCCATTGCTTCTCCAGCAGATTATCCCTGCAGCCGAACCAATCTGATAAGAGAGTATGCAAGGCTATTTATAGCATTTCAACTGGAAGACAGATCCATGCCTTTTCTTTGTAGATGGTTCTTCACTTGATTAACACACATATCAGCGTCCTCCTTTTTTGGACACTTTTTGCTGTGCACACTGCAGTAAAATGCAGGATTGCAGGGGCTGAGCCAAGTCCTTTTAGGAGGAATTAAGATGTTATTGATGGAGACCTCTCCAGTATCTTGGCAGTGATTCGCCCTCCCTTCAGCCATTCAGACATTTGTCATCTTTGGTATCTTACCTAGCTGGCCACTGTTTCCTCCTCAACGTTTTGCCATGCTGTTTTTCACTTCTGTGGGGCACACTGTGCTAGGAACTGAGTTTAGTCTCACACTCAGCTATCAGCTGCTTTTGCTAAAGACATCTGCTTCCACTGTACCAGACCAGAGCTCCGTCATACTGTGTGCAGAGCTTGCATTAGGAAAGTAGCCAGTCTCTTCCCATAGATTATAGTGAGAATTCAGAAAAATTCAAATGCTTGTATTTTAGGAAATGTTACATTTAAGGCTGTCTTCACTCTGCTCCTGTGTGGAACAGAGGTGCCTGAGATGGTGCCCGACATGTGGGTTGAAATATTCCTGAATTGCATTCCTTAGACCACAGGACCAGAGGTAAACATTTAATGTTTCATCCCCATTACTTAAAGTGGGACCTCATGCAATATTTAATGAACATCATTACAACCCTGCACTGAATATGTAATTAACAGCCATCTCTTGAGCTTTTGCAATGCGTTTGGTGCAATAGCATCTGTACTTCACAGATCACAGAATTACAGAATGGCTGCGGTTGGAAGGGACCTCTGGAGATCATCTAGTCCAACCTCCCTGGTCAAGCAGGGTCACCTAGAACAGGTTTCCCAGGACCCTGTCCAGATGCTTTTTGGGTATTTCCAAGGAAGGAGACTCCACAATGTATCCCAGGGTAGTTCTGGCAGCTCCTCAGTCTGATTCCATCAAAGGGCAAGGGCAGTAGTAGGATAGCAGCGCTCCTGCGCTGAAAGGCAGGTCTCCAGCTCCTGGAATGTGAGGCCAGGATTGCATCAGCTGCCTCCGGGCGGCTGCTGACGTACGAGGCACGAGCAGCATGACTTTGGGAGTTTGTGGCAGAGCTAGACGTGAAACTCTCTCACTTGGTTTGTAGCCATAGGCTTTTCTTGCAAGACCAGCTTTTTCTCATGGTCTCCTACCTCCTCTGTGCCCCTCAGCACAGCTCAAGCAAGTGAATTGAGATACCGTTTCCTGGGTTTGATTTCTGTACTTAATACAACTCTTTCGGTCCAGACTTTTCTTTGTTTCAGGAAAGATTACGTATTGATTCACTGTAAAGCCGGAAGGAGAACCTTGTCTAACCCCTTCATGGCACAGGCCACGGGAATTCACCAAATGATTTCTGCATCTTACCATGGCTGAACAGGATCACTGCTTTAAAAAGATATAATTTTGAACAGAAGATTTCAAATATCAGCAAATATATAAGACCCCTGCTGAGCTATTTCAGTGACAGATCCTCTCAGCTCCCAATTGTATAAGTCTTCATTTCCATTTGCTTTCACTGAATCTTACCATCCAATATTAGATGCTACTTCAGTTTATGTGTACTTGTAGATCACATGCAAGCAATCTGATGTGTCAGTTCTCTTTAATAAACTCAAAGACTGAATCAAGTCTCTTACTGTCAGCAGAGCCAATGTAAGGCATTTTGGCAGCTGGGTGCTTACCCTTCCCTTCCCGTCCCGTCCCTTCTTTGTTGTTGCAAAAGCAGGTGGAAAGTCACTTTTCCAGCCACCTGAGGAACACTTGTTCCATGTCTGACTGGTGCTTGGACTCTTCTGTAGCTGAAATATTGTAGACATATGTATATATTTTTTCTTATTGTTCTGCCTCCCTCTTCTCTTTAACACTCAGTATTGATCAGGACTGAAACCAATTATTTTAGTTGCTTTGTTACCAGCAGCAGTTTCCAAGTGCTACTCAATATTTATGATATTCATAATTACAATCTCTGTGACCATCTTCAGCATCTCATCTACTTCTTCAAGTAATGTCTAGGTTTTTCAGTGATCTTCAGCTCTGTAGGCAT